GCAATATGCAATATTGAAACGTTTTTATACCTGTCCAAATGAATATATATATATATATATATATATATATATATATATGTATATATATATGTGTGTGTGTGTGTGTGTGTGTGTGTGTATCTATGTATGTATTATGGCATAAAAAGCAAGAAATTTTATATTATAGGCCATGATAGATTTAAAATAAAAACAAAACACACACCAGTCGACCGGTTTCGTCCCCTCTCATCAGAACTGTTAATTGTTAAGCATTTCTTGCTTTTATGCCATAATACGTTTCTGTACTGTTTCAAACACATATATATATATATATATATATATATATATATATATATATATATATATATATATATATATATATATATATATATATAAACTCATTCATACACACAGACGGACACACACATTGTTCTATTTAATATCGAAATCAGATGTGCGTGAAAATATAGGTATGAAACAGAGTCACCTTTTACTGTTTATAGGTGTACCCCCTCTCACTCTTTCTCTTTCTCTCCATATCTATCTATCTATCTTTCTATATGTGGGTGTCTGTCTGTCTGTCTGTCTGTCTGTCTGTGCGTAACTTTGAAGGATGCATAAAAGTATCCATATCAAAACTGAAGATGATGATAACGTAGAAAATCTATTAAAAGCGCGTTTCACTGGAGTTTCTGCTAACTTTGTTCACTCAGGAAAGACTAACCTGTATGTAAGGGGAAATATTTTGCGATCTCTGGGGATAAGCAGTAATCATAAACTAAAATAAATTATAACTTACCCCGTCTAGTGAACAGGCCCAAGAGAGTGCCTCTGTACCTTTTGGTTTATATATATATATATATATATATATATATATATATATATATATATATATATTATATTTGAAACCAATCCACCAAAAAACAAGAACGTTTTTATTTTATATATATATATATATATATATATATATATATATATATATATATATATATATATATATATATATTGGGTGCGATGGATATTTTGTCGTCTAAAGGAGAAAAATGAAAATAACACTGGCATTTCAGTTTAACAGATATACAACAAAATTCGACAAAAACATTTTGAAATACTAAAAAGTAAATTTCTTTAATAACATCGTCATTAGCTTCAATCGGGGCCTCCAGATGACTTCGAAATCTGTTGCAACTCTCCTGGACTGTCTCCTTGCTTAAGCTGTAAATGTCGCCATAATCCTTGCCTGTTCATCATTGTTGATACAAGGAGTTTTGTTGGTCTCTCGATCAAATGCGTCCAACAAATAATAACGTAGGTTACAGTCTGGGGAGTTAGGTTGCCAGATCTAAGAGGCGATTTGTTCACAGAAATTGTCGGACATTCATAGCTGTTTCTCCTGCTTGTGTGGCCTGGTGCAGAATCATGTTGGCATATATATGTTCTTCCATCTGCCACCCTCTTCACCCATGGCTGTACTTCCTTCGTCTGTGATCCTTTGGGAAGATGAATGGTTGCATAACGCCGCCATCCCTAGTGGTCACTCTAAACATCTTCGTAATCACCATTAGACTCATCCGACTCTTCCTGAATCCGACACTTAAACAGTATGAAAGGTATGTATTGGCACTTCCGGTGCGAATGTTAAGCAGTACAGTATTCCGTTTCGAAATTTCTGGCAGAGGGAATTGCATCATTGTGCCTTATTTCTAACAGACAGTGCTCAACTGACCCTACTATTCTGTGCAGTCAACAAAATCAAAACCAACAAAGCCCGAATTAACAATAATCGCCGTATACAGTAGACGAATGCCTCTTGTAAAGAAAGAGATGTCTTCCTCACAAGAACCAAACCATTTTTATTTCACAATATCTTAATTTTATTCATAGTTGCACGCTGCTCATATACACACACATATTTACATTTTTACTTTAAGCCACCATGTTATTTTTTTGTATACACAATCCCAAATAACTATAAATTTCTACGTTGAAATTGTTGTTTTGGACGCTTCAAGGCAGAAAAAATAGAAACATATATTTGTTGATTATGGAAAGACAGAGATGCAACTTTATTTCTTGGAAGATTTTGAAAAGCATGACCGTGACTTTGTTGCTATATTCTTTAATATGCTTTCACTCAAGAGGATTGCATCTACCGTGATCAAAGCCCACATCTACATAAAGGATAATAGATAGAAGTGGAATGAATGCCATCGACGCCATTAATCCTATGACCATGTAATTAAACGCTGTGAATGACGTCGGTTACAAATTGAACGTCATATACTGATGTGGATTTGGCGCCAAGTAAATATTCACTGAGCATCCGTTTGTCATTGACTTCCGTGTTCTTCGCGCTTGTATCGTCAGGGATTGCACATTATAATTACATTGTTGGAACTACTCAAATGTTTTCAATAGAGAAAATTTTCTTTGTACTGTAAAAACGACTGGAAATAATCAAAGTTTATCTAATATTCAACGTAGACTGTTACCAATATGTTAACATTCTCTGAGCTTCGTTTTATGTCGCCTTTTTGTTTTCGTAACAAGAAGGTAAAACTAAATAAATATTTCTCATAGTCAAGAATGTTGATTTTATTTCAAGAATACATGAAGAGAGTCTACGTCATTTATTCAGGTATTGCTTTTGAATCCTTGCTATTTTGAGAAAGATAATATGAAGTGTATATTATAACCGTGACCGCGGGTTCAAATCATCCTAGTGGATATTTTCTTTATCAAGTCTCTGAAATAAGCAAGCAACTAACGTAAATTACGCTGTCTTAAAAATGGGATGTCTACACAAATATGGGTACCCACTAAAATAATGTTTCGAATAATAATAATAATAATAATGATAATATATATATATATATATATATATATATATATATATATATATATATATATATATACAAGGTTAATGGTCAGACTTAAATCAGAGCAGGAAAGATTAGTATTACAAAGTGCTGAAAACACGTAAGAAAAGCATAAATTAAAAGTAAAAATATGATGTAGAGATTTCGACTGTAAAATCATGAAATCAAACTCTGTACCGAGTATTGAGTCCTTGCTTACATATTAAGAAATTCCTCTTAAGTACATATGAGGCCGGATAAAAAAAGTACATTTCAATCACCCACCCGATACTTTTATAATACCGTTTATTCTTCTTCTTCTTCTTCTTCTTCTTCTTCTTCTTCTTCTTTACAGGAAATTATAATAAAAATGATTTACAACGCTACCCAACAGCAACAAACCATTACCTGAGGAAGTATACTCATGGTATTGAAACATGAAACTTTTGTGCATCAATGTATAATATATTTGTCTTTTTTTTATTATAACCTCGTGTAATGAATATATAATAACAATCTTATGTTCTAGTTTGTATTGAGCACTTTTTTACTCCATCTATTCTTTCTCTTATTTTATCTATCTATCTATCTATCTATCTATCTATCTATATATATATATATATATATATATATATATATATATATATATATATATATATATTGTGAAAGATAACGAAAAGATTTTAGAAGGAACCAGGACGCAATCATAAACAGGACAAAGAACAAGTGATCAAACCTCTACTCCTGTTCGAATCACCCAGGTAGTATGAACCGGACGATAAGTGGTCTTATCTTCATCAAAGTCAATGTTTATACGAGAACGTTAGAAATATAGAATTGATTTGAAACGGATTCTTAATCATATTTTTGAAAGTCTAGACAAAATCTTTGAAAATATTTATAATTCACCAAAGAAAGTATATATATATATATATATATATATATATATATATATATATATATATATATTCACGCCTATACTTTATTCCTTACCTTCGTAAGAATTCGGTATATGATATTCCTACAGATCGATCAATTCAAATGATCAGATTCTGGCAATTTGTTTTACGTAGATACGATTCATCTTTAGATGTGTTGATGGAGATACATCCCTATCAATAGACGATTTAGTGGAGTTAGACAGACAGATAGATAGATAGATAGATAGATAGATAGATAGATAGATAGATAGATAGATAGATAGTCCCTCTCACCGTCATCTATGTATCTATCATGAAATAATAGTCAATAAATGAAGATGCAATGTCTTCTAATCTGAGTATTCTGCGCGTTTTCCTTTATCAAATAACGAAAACAATATATTTTCGACTCGATGAGCACTAAACGAAGAAAGTCCATCAAAGGGAGATAAATTACAATACGAAATTATTTTTTATATAATTACTGATTTTATTTGCTCGTGTCTTTTAGAATCAAATTGATTAAGCTTCTCTTGTCGACCGCTGAAATACACAGTTTCGATTTGTTTTCCTTGGAAATCATTATTTGTGATGTAAAAGCAACTCCTCTCATATGGGTTGTTTGAATTGCAACACTTCAACCAATGCCATATCCGGAGTTTTCGGAATTTTCTCAATTGCGGTGCTAAACTATTTTCTTCATTTTACAAACTCATAAAACCCATCTCCTCATCTCTTTGTGCGCATCACCCTGCATCTCATATCCCGTGGAGTTGATATCCGATGTTTCTTCACTATTGCTCTCTCCACTTTATAGCATACAAAACAACGCATAACACGTCCAGGAGACTTCCCTTGAATGTAGAATGAACATACCGTTCCTTTGAAATGATCTCAAAATAGCAAATAAATTTCATGACTATGGAACTAAGATGAAGTAATTTATGCATATCAGTTTTTATTTTTTCTAAAAGGGACTCTTAGTTAATATCACTCGACGTAAACATCATGATGAAGCTTATAAAACCTATGCCATATTTTTCCTTTTTTATTACTATTTACCTGCTTGACATTACGTTTTGCATTCAGTTAAACATTCTTTAAATAAAATATTTTAGTTTTTTTATATATTGTTCTCATTAAAAAAGGAAATGATCAGGTCTATTAAAAACACCCCATCTTTCTTATCTATATTTGTAATACTGTTCGTATGCAAATTACTCTTGTGTTGAGATTTGCTGTTAACACAAGGCATATCCATCCCTAGTGGCGTCTAATGAAAAGGTGACATGTATTCAATCAGGACTATAAATAGGCAATAGCATTTCTAGATATAAGATATTTTCTTTTCACATGTTTTATAAGTCAAAGTCTAAGAACTGTTTCGACGGAAATGTAATACCACCGACTCTAGAAAGGAATGTTTATCTTATGACTCCTTTTCACTGCTCTATACTCCATTTGCTAAAATATAGTTTGAGAGGTTACTCTCTATTCCATTTGTTTATCTTAACTGCAATATGTCCATTAAGTTTCAAATTCTCGAAGGACACTTTTCTCATTATGAATCGCAAAAGTGGCAGCTATTTTTTTTTCATTTTCAAGTACAGTCGTCCTTTATGTTTCAATTCTAAATTAAACTTTCTCCTTGCTAACATTTTCGGTCAATGATATTCTCAGCTATCATTTATTGAACCATATCTCTGTTGACTTCATTATACTCTCCACAAGAAAAGTATGCGACATTCGCTGTCATCGTCTATATGTCATATTGAATATAATTTCTGTAATATTTTCTTTGATTATAAGGAATATCACTTTGTTTCGCAAGCTATTTGAGGATAATCATAAATTCAGTTGCAATGTTTATTCGAGAAAACTAGGAGAAAACATCGCTCCCAATATTGTGATAAAACTAACAAAGATAATGATCTGTCTATATTTCTGAGATGCAGTATTATGTACACTATTTACATTATTTGAACAATTGTCCTCATATTTGTCGCCATATTTATCACATTTTAAGGACACATGGCGTAGGTTAGGTCCTGTGACAGGATCCAAAAAGTGCGAGTTCAATACCCGGGTAAGCAAGTGGAGAACTTGGAGAGGGGAATTAACAGGAGATAACTGATAACATCCATTAAACATGGCACGTGGAACTAAACAGTCTACCCCAGTGAGCGAAAATGTTGTGATAAATATTGCGAGAAAGATGAGGACAATAGTCCGAAAAATGTAAATATTGTAAAGATAATTACATTAATGTGGGAATTTGTGTGTTGTTTATTCTTGTGTTTGGCATTTAAAATAGAAAATTCAACATTTAAATTCAAATTAAAGTGAGCGTAATAATAATTTTAAAAAAAATGCTGCTTCAGCATTTGGGATCTAAGATCTTTTTTTATGAAAAAAAAAAAAGGCATATCTATAATCACCGTCAAAGAATTGCAAATATTGTTTACATCCTCCACTTTTTTTCACTCTAATAATATTCTCATAATTTTTATATAGAAAAATTTCCTGATCTTCGTTGTTATTAAAAGATTTTGATCGTTCTATCTTCTTTTCGTCATCGGGAGTTTACGATCCAGCGAAAACCTTAGTGAATTTCCAAATAAACATTTATTCAAGAGTAGATCTCTAGGGAGATCTCATTTACGTCTACTGCTACAGTGCGCATATATTTTATACACTCCTTTTCACTTAGAACATGTCAAACTGGCCCAGTCGGTTGAACTGACAATTAATATATGACTATATTTACAAAGCAACGCTATAGTTCATACGGTATGCACGATGTTTAACGTGTTTCAGTATAGCTAAGAAAGAAGGAAAATATTTTAAACAATAACTTTTACCACTTCACATCTAAACGATAAACCTAAGCTCATCCTTTTAGTAGAGTCATTAATATCGTATATATGCACTCAAAACATATATTTATATATTACGTGTTACATCATCTTCTATAGATTTCGTAGATTTTGACAAGTGTAATATGTAACATTATTAACATTAGAACATATAAAATTCAACATGAAAAACACGATGGACATAAGAGCACAACTAATCCAAACAGATAACTGAAATTTTATATAAGATCATCGTTCCGTTTAAAATATGATCACGTCATCGTCACGCTGGCGATGTTGTGAAAACGTATTCGAAGATGATTTCAAAATATTAAAATATTAAACAAATTCGATTGAACTATTTTCTCATATAAACAGTTCGTCAAGAAATCCTTTCCGTTGATGTAGGAATACGCAGAGATCAATAGGTTCTTATATTTCCATACAAGCTTGAAGTTTTCCATGTTACAAAGTAAATCAAAAATGATTTCAAAATATTAGACAGGCACGATGGAACAATTTTAAGACAGTTCGTTAATAAATCCTTTCCTTACTTACAGGAATAGGCTGAGATCAATACATCCTTATATTTTCGTACAAGATTGATCTTATATAAAATTTCAGTTATCTGTTTGGATTAGTTGTGCTCATATGTCCATCGTCTTTTTCATGTTGAATTTTATATGTTCTAATGTTAATTATGTTTTATAAATAAGTCCTGATAATTGTCTAAAATAGACCGAAACGTCCGACGTTTACTTTATATTAACATTAATACAGCATAATTATATATTAAGATTTTTGTTTGTTTTTTTTCTGTCTATTTTTCTTCATACTGTCGGATCTATATCCATATATTTGCTTTATATATATATATATATATATATATATATATATATATATATACATACACACATATATATATATATATATACACATATATATATATATATATATACGTCATATATATATATATATATATATATATATATATATATATATATATATATATATAACTACAGTTTAATATTTCAGCATACTGAAGATGATTTTCGCCCACTCTAAACTTCTAACATTCTGTCCTTGAGTAACAAGTTTCCTGAGAGGTTTCACGCATGAGTTCATTTTCTTTTTTAAACTTATACACCATTCTCTTGAGGGTTCTTGAATGGACCTTCTTTTGATCATAAAATTTCACGTGCAACATGAATAAACGTTTTGTGTGCTCAATTCTGGAATTTTTACTAAACCTTTCTAGTAATTTGGCACGCTCAAATCACCGTGCTGATAACAAATATGGCGTCAGTTTGTTTACATTGCGTACATCACGTCGAAAATTTCAGTGATTGCGCAGGCCAGTGTTGCCAATATTGTGTGAAAATTTTCTGTGAAAATTTTGTGTGAATTGAGTGGAAGGTTTTTGAAATATTACAAAAGAAGTTATATCGTAATAATTTGGCACGCAGTATATATATATATATATATATATATATATAATAATTTTGATTTTGAATTTGTAGGTCTGATGATTTGGATCGTATTTACGATTCCAATGGAATAAATTATGACCATGGAATATTAGTGTTTAAACCTTTTTATTATATCCTTACTCTGTCCTCGACATTGAGTTCTACCTGAATTCTTCCTCTTGGAAAATGTTTTCTGAAAATATACATGTATGTGTATTTTTATATATACTTTGCATATGTATGTATATTTTCCACTAATATTATATATATATATATATATATATATATATATATATATATATATATATATATATATATATATATAATAGAATCCAATTCTTCAGTCTTATTCAACCCCGGCGTTGAATAAGACCGACAGATTATATTTTCGTTGGTCGAAATCGGCTTGCTTCAATATTAGATTATTTCGATTTGTTGTGTATTAATCTTTGCTCTGTAATAACAAATACATTGAGCTCTTTTTGTCGATCAGTTTTAGGATTTTATATTATTAGTATCTACTTGGTTTATATACAAACGTATGTATTAAATTTACCACACTCTATCTCTGATATTGAGCACTTTGTCCCATAAATATGTCACAACTTAAGAGTAAATTTCTACATATATATATATATATATATATATATATATATAGATAGATAGATAGATAGATAGATAGATAGATTTAGATATCACAGTGAATATTGGTGATAGAACTGTGGTTGATGTAGTGTAAGAGAGCCAAAAGTAAAATAATATAAATGAATGATCTGATCCAGAGAGAGAGAGAGAGAGAGAGAGAGAGATGCACTTAGGTTAAGAGATATATTTCGTTAAATGTAGATTTTCGGACTAGTTCAAATAATCATAGTTGATTCCTGATGAAGCATAGAATTATGAACACATAGTAATGTTTTATACGGGAATTATGTAAAACACTGTCTTGCAAAATCAAACTTGCTAGCATTTACTCTGATTTTTGTTACTAGGAATAAAAATATACAAATTATTAAGTTCTGTCTGGGTAAAAAAATTTTATTTACGGATACATTTTAAATGAAAGTTATTTAAATATTTTTTCTTCGTAAAAGCATACTTCCATATCAATATTTTGTAAAATATATTTGCTTATTAGGGCTTCCACAATAATTGGGATCGTTTTGATTATTCCTTCGATGTGTGTATTTTAATAAGTCTTTTATTAACAGGAAAATAAATATCAAATTTTAGTTTATGGCATCACTAAGAAATTCTTGCTTTCATCTTTGCTTTCTTTACGAAAACATAAATGCGGCTTTTGATATGAATGTTTTTGTATGCAAAGAACTTCAATGGTTTATTCCCACATTTCAAACTTGCAGTAGTTTAACATCAATCAATAACGACGTCGTACGTGAAACTTTCAACTGATTGAAAATGATGTTTTCCTCGCTTTCAGATCTGTTAACAGAAAATATTATTATATATAAGTTTACATCCTTTCTCCATTATGGTGTATATATTAGCAAAGTCAATATTTGTACAATCGAAGTAGCATTAATAAACCAATGGTATCGAAGATTTTAGGATAAACTTGTTTTTGTAGGCTGAATAATATATCTAAAAACTATGAGTAATCGAGGCGTCTATTGGATTAACACAGTAGAAAATAAAGCTGGAAATAATTATTTTATTATTATACATGTTAAAATGAGCTGCGTGATATTATAAGGACTTCATCAAAGAGATTCATTTCATATTTTCTCTCTTTCAAATTTGACATATTTTCAGAGATTTCTGTTCCTTTACAGAGATATTCTTTACATGTACATTGATTTTCCCTCAATACATGTTTTAAATCTTGTCCATAGCCTTTACGATTGCTAGAAAATTTGGTCCACTGTGCTGTGTCAGAAATCTAGTGATCCTGCTGTACCGCTTGACGTGATTCTTGACAAAATTCCAAGAAGGGTCTGTAGCTATTTTCTCACAGACTTGATGTGATTTCCCTCTGTCTTTTCTACAAATATATTCATTTTAACTGGACTGATGAGATTTTTGCCCTGGTGCGCCGACTACATAAATTTAAGCGTTCTATTAGATTGGCATCTAGGTCTGACCATGTTACTTTTGAAATTTCCAGATTCAACCGCCACTCCGCGGACAATTTCTTTTCTCACGCTTCTCAACTCTGAAAAGCCTATATGATTTCTTGCTTCCACTGCCATAAAATGTAGCGATTAATATCGAAGCAATTGATATGTCTACTGCTAAAGTTGGTCTACTGTACCGTGCCAGAAAAATGTTTCTCTTCAGATTGACGTCTTGCAAATTTATAAATCTATCAGTCGTCTGAGCATTGAATACTGTTGCCATATCGGGACTTGTGATCCAGCTGCACATTGCGAGATTCTTGACAAAATTCAAATATGCGTATCTAAATTATTCCATCCTGACAAGGCATCTCGAATTTGGTCACGTTATCATCGAGATGACGTGGCTTTTCTTTGACTTTTTACGAATACAGTTGTTCTGATGGCATGTTTCCCTAGTTCTCCGACTATATGAATTACAGTGCGTTACAAGATAGGCGTCTAGTTTCTACACTTTTGCTCATGAAAAAGCTAAATGCAACTGTTACAATCTATATTCAACCTAATCACTTGATAAGACACCAAAGGTGTTGAAACAAAATGGCTATTTTTGTAGAGATTTTAAAACATATTTATGTTATAATTTTTAAATAAATATATATATATATATATATATATATATATATATATATATATATATATATATATATATATATATATGAAGAAATATAGTCTTAACATGTGATATATTTATTGGATAAAGTGCTCAATATGAGAGATAGAGTGTGTAAATATAAAAGTGCCCTGACGATTGCGTCTAGCACGAAACAGATTGTCGCCTCTAAGTCTTGACTTCAATGTTCATTTTATATATATATATATATATATATATATATATATATATATATATATATTAGTTAAAACTTCTTCATTATATCAAAATTTAAAACAATCATCTTTTTTTCTGAAATTAAAATAAATCTGTGTATTTAGCCCTCAACTTTGAAGTACCTGTGAAGACACTGCCTACAATAAAAATCACAAATCATTATTCCACCTCCCCACTGTAACGCTCTAAGTAATGTTGATTGATTATTTCCAGACTAACGACCGTGTCAGTTCAGTTTACCCTTGAAAAAGAATCACTTCATATACTTAAATGTTTAACACATATTTTCCTCTTTTTTGATTTAAGAATGATAACTATTTTCTGTTTATATTCGCAACACGAGCTACTGCAAATATTTTCTTTCAGATCATACAATTTTCTTGTAATTTTTATCAGATATATATTTTCTATTCATCGAAAGTTTTCTGCATTGTTTTAGTTTTTCAAAAGCTATGTTACTATTGCTCAGTTATTTATTTTCCTATTGTATACTTTTGTCTTGCTATGATTTCTCATTAATATTTTATACCTTAGAAACAAAAAATACATATCAACAATTACAATATTATATGAATATTTATATGATAACAAAACACAACAATCGTAATATACATTGTCATTTTATTAATAAATTACTGAAAAATTGTAATAAATTTATGAAACTCAGATATATAAAATTAACTATATCCCTATCTATATATATATATATATATATATATATATATATATTTTTTTTTTAAATATGATTCCTTCGCTACATAAGAGTTCTCATGTTTCAAAAACGAGAGCCGAAACCATCCAAATAATTATTAAAATTAATTTGAATTAAGGTGTTTTAGTCCCGATTCATCTTCAAGCGAAATTAAAAAATAAAAACAAAAATACTAAGGAACTCCGGATTATGCACCCAACATGTTCTTTTCTATTTTCTGCATACCTGCGCATTATATATATATATATATATATATATATATATATATATATATATATATATATATATATATATATATATATAGTCTTGAATCTAGACTTATATTTTTCTCTTTCCTTTTCATATCTTATTCTACAATTAACAAAATTTCCGATATTAGTCTTTGTTTATTGATGTAATATTACGTAATTAGCCTTGACTTCTAGTGATATTGTTTACCTAATGTTGCATATGTCAAAGAAACCGTTACTTATTTTGGAATTTTCTAAAACAGATAATGTATTTAATGTTTATATACGTATATAATATATGTTAATCATTTCCGAGGTGACAGTGGGGCTAAGCCTAACGTCTCTGTCTATAAAATGATTCCGAGATATACATCTCAAATAGACTCTAACGGCTAAGTTCACCTCCAAGCCGGAGAAAGGGCGAAGGCAGAAAACTGGCGCCTCAGATGCAGGAGATTTCGTTATATGAATCTCAACAGCCTTGGATGACATTCCGTTTAGTGGAAGGAAAAT